CTACCATCACCACCACTACCACCATACTACCACCACTACTGCCATCACCACCATTAGTACCACCACCACCACTACCACCATTACTACCACCACCATCACCACCACTATTACCACCACTACTACCATCACCACCACATCCATCATCTTCACCTTCACCTCCCTCACTCCACATGTGCTCTTTCACCACCTTCGTCACTTTCACTACCACCTCCCTCATCTTCACCTCACACTACCCTCATTATCTTCACCACCTCATCAGCTCCCTCATCATCACTTAACATCATCTTCATCTATCTCATCTCCATACCCTTCACCATCCTCACCTTCATCACCGGCCTCACCATCTTCACCTTCCTAACCATCATTGTCACCTCCCCCTCACTATTACTGTTGTTACATTCATAGTCTGTATGTTATACATAAACTCTCTCTCTCTCTCTCTCTCTCTCTCTCTCTCTCTCTCTCTCTCTCTCTCTCTCTCTCTCTCTCTCTCTCTTCTCTTTTATATATATAACACACACACACACACATACATGCACACATACATGCACACTCACACTAAGCGCACACACACATACACACACACACACACACACACACACACACACACACACACACACACACACACACACACACACACACACACACACACACACACATTAAACACATCTTGGACAGGCACAGTTAACAGAGATTAACAATAGCCTCCAAGATCTTTAGCTACTAATGGCATTGTCAGGAAGAATCCTTGATGACACTACTAGTGTACTCACCTGTAACAGACTCCGAGTGTTGTTGTGGCCTGGGAGGCCAGGCTGAGGCCAGACACTCGGAGGATGATCTTGGGTAAAAATTGTTAATTATTAATCTGTGAATGTCTTCAGTACATGATATCACATTCTTCCCTCTTATTTCATCACCCTCACTTTCATTTCTTGCATCTTTACCCCTTTCCCCTCTTCCCCAGAGGTAAATTGGGTAAAAAATAGGGACCGCCCGGTAGAAATATATTGTGTTTTTCATTTTGTGTTTTTTCTTATGTTCTGGTACTGTTTTTATTTCGCCCGGGTGGTCCCATGGCCACTCAACTTCTTTCTCTACTTAGCCTCGCCATTTTGCTTTTTCCAGATTAGACAAGAGAAGCCATATTATCAGGCAAACCCAGAGCTTGATAGCTTAGTAAGTAATCGCTATGCTTCTCTTTGTTTGATAGGTCTCTTAGAGGGGGTGAGGAGCCTGCCCTTGGGGCTTGAGGGGAGCAGGGATGAAATCCCCTTGGGGAATCAGGTGAGGATCCCTCCAGTGGTGGAGTAGGATAGGAAGGGTGAGGTGATACGGTTAGGGGGGAGTGTTAGGGGCGAGGAACCTCTATTTTGGAGATTAAGAAGAGGGTGAGGAACCCTTCTTCGGGGATAAAGGGTGAGAAGCCCCCGTGGAAGGGTGATTCAGGGGATACAGCCTCCCTTGAGGAGGTAAGGGGTGAGAAGTCTCCCTGGAAGGGCGATTCAGGGGAAGCAGCCTCCCTTGAGGAAGTAAGGGGTGAGAAACCTCCCTCGAAGGGGGATTCAGGGGAAACAGCATCCCTTGAGGATGTAAGGGGTAAGGAGCCTTCCTTCGGGGATCAGGAGTGAGGAGCCTTTCCTGGGGGTAGTGAGGGAAGAGTGAGCGGGAACTATTACTGACGACTAAGAAACAGCTGTGGTTACTAGGAATCTTTGGTAGGTCAGGAAGCGTCATTCCTCAAGGAGGGACGCTCTCAGTGGATGAAAAGTCTTTCTAAAGGGTAACAACCACTCCTGGAGGAGGACCAGCACTCCTGAAGGAGGATTACCACTCCTAAAGGAGGAAAAGAATCACTCCTGAAGGCAAGGAACCTAATTGTCAACAATGAAGTCCATCATGAACGAAAATATTCTAGAATTGGTCTTCACGAATAATGAACTAATTCGACATAACAGTCTCGTACATACTCAGACCACAACCTCACTGAGGTACAGACAGGAATAGAATCATGTATAGAAATTTGAAGAGCGAGCCAGCCTGATGGGGGTGTCCAGCAAAAATAATCAAACACAGAACTTATTGATATCAGGTGAATAAGCATCTGACGTTCTCTGGGAAATGACCCTTGACCGTCGGACTCCTTCACCAGTGAATGGAAAAGCTGGAGATAGAAGTTCACAGCGTCTGTGTAAACTATGTTACACTTAGAGGGAAAAAAATGAGATCAGCCGTTGAAAGAAAACGGAAAAAATGTAGAAAATGGGAAAAGGGGTTAAGGAACTGCTTAAGAATGAGAATATATAACAACACGAAGGAAAGATAATCTGCAGTGACAGATTACCGAGATGGAACAGTAACTAAAACTTTCCTACTAGACGCATGAAATAAAAAAATGTAAATATTTCAACAGGCAAAATCCAAATTAAGAATCACTCTTAGGACTGACGCACTACTAACGCGACGTTCATACGCTGACGGCGAGAAAGAAATGACCGACATTTTTAAAGAGCATTGTAAATCAGTACCTCCAAGAACTGGAAATCTTGAAAAACCTGTGTAAATTAATGCCTCAGAGAACTGGGAATCTTGAAAAACCTGTGTAAATTAATGCCTCAGAGAACTGGGAATTTACTACCTGGAAAGAAGATAAGATGCATGATAATATACACATGGAAGATACTGGAAAAGCTCAGTCCCAAACATAACAATGGAGTGAGAGATACGGGAGGACACATAAAGCCAGTGAAAAATCAGGGGCACCATGGTCACAATAAGAAAACACTGTCATCATGCGTGGTTCCAGACTCTTCAACCTGCTACCAGCAGATATCAGAAATATTGTTGGAATTAGTGTGAAAATTTTCAAGCGGAAATTGGATCACTACCTCAGTCAAGTGGCAGATCCACCAGGCTGTGATAGCTTGGTGGGTTACCAATGTGGAGATCTGGTCCCGGGTCGGCCGTGGGAATAGAAAAACTCTCGAAAGAGGACACAGGTAAGAGGAGGAACAAGTTTTGAAGGAGACGAACTCGCAGAGGAAAGGATGTCCTTTTGAAGAGTAACAACTCCAGGAGTGTGGAAGTTCTCCTCCAGGAATGGAAGTTCTCCTCCAGGAATGGAAGTTCTCCTCCAGGAATGGAAGTTCTCCTCCAGGAATGGAAGTTCTCCTCCAGGAATGGAAGTTCTCCTCCAGGAATGGAAGTTCTCCAGGAGTGTGGAAGTTCTCCTCCAGGAATGGAAGTTCTCCAGGAGTGTGGAAGATCTCCTCCAGGAATGGAAGTTCTCCAGGTGTGTGGAAGTTCTCCTCCAGGAATGGAAGTTCTCCTCCAGGAATGGAAGTTCTTCAGGAGTGTGGAAGTTCTCCTCCAGGACTGGAAGTTCTTCAGGAGAGAAAGTTCTCCTCCAGGAGTGTAAAGATCTCTATGAAGTGAGGGATTCCTTAAGGCTAGTGTAGTGTACGTTCCTCCCGTCTATATAAAGACTTAATCCAAAGGGATTGGAGGTCCTCTTTCTTTCATGGGATTGTTACCTGATTACCTCCAGTTTTCCCAGGTGCTGTATGACCCCTACGATTTTAGCGCTTCCCCTGAATATAATAATAACAGCAAGGTTTAGTTTCTTGGGCAGAATCTGTTTAGTGTAGTTGTTTCTCTTGTCTTTGTTCAGTTTCATTTTGGTTCATATTTGCAACTTTGTTTACTATCTTAAGTTTCTTGTAGAGGTAAGATAGGCCTAACTTAAGTTCCATGTTTAATCTTAATGTTAACTTAAGTTGATGACTTTGTTATATGATAAGATTGTTTGTGTGTGTGTGTGTGTGTGTGTGTGTAATTTACACAAAAGTAAAGCACGGGAGGCATGCCGTGCTAGAGGGTCATATGTTCATTCATAATGGACCTACACTACTGACTTTGAACCATTAAGTTATGCCAGGCGCCTATTATCACCCTTGTTGACAAGCTCTCGTAACTACCCCCCACGCATTACGGTAGTTATTCCTCCATTTAGGGGGGTCTTTGCAAAAATGGCTCTGGTAGGAGGGGATCATGCGCTGCTTCCAACAATTAAGGAGTGTCCTTAAAACAGCTAGGGGAGTCCTTAGACAGTTAAGTAGTCCTCGTTATAATTAGCGGGTCCTTGGAACAATTAGGGGTGTCCTTCCGACAATTGAGGTCCTTGCAACGATTAGGGGTCCTTGCAACGACTAGTAGTCCTTGCAACGACTAGTAGTCCTTGCAACGACTAGGGTTTCTTGCAACGACTAGAGGTCCTTGCAACGATTAGGGGGTCCTTGTTCCAGTTATAGGGACCTTGCAACAATTATGGGGGTCTTTGCAACAATTGCTTTCTATTCTTAATCAGTTAATAGTTAAGTGCTGTAAGTTGTTGGGGATGATTGGAGTGTGTTGGGGATGGTTGGAGAGTGTTGGGGATGGTTGGGGAGTGTTGGGGATGGTTGGGAGTGTTGGGGATGGTTGGGGAGTGTTGGGGATGGTTGGAGAGTGTTGGGGATGGTTGGAGAGTGTTGGGGATGGTTGGAGAGTGTTGGGGATGGTTGGAGAGTGTTGGGGATGGTTGGAGAGTGTTGGGGATGGTTGGAGAGTGTTGGGGATGGTTGGAGAGTGTTGGGGATGGTTGGAGAGTGTTGGGGATGGTTGGAGAGTGTTGGGAATGGTTGGAGAGTGTTTGGTATGGTTGGAGTGCGTTGGGGATGGTTAGAGACTGTTGGAGGATGCTTGGGGAGTGTAGGGGATGGTTGGAGAGTGTCGGGGATGGTTGGAGAGTGTTGGGGATGAAGGGGTCAAGGGGAGGGGGAGGTTTACACGAGGAGGGGAAGAGAGAGGTGCAGTGCAGTAGTGGGATGAGAGATGGAGTGGAAGGGGGAAGTAGGAGGTATAGAAGGGTGGGAAGAGGAGGGATGAGAAAGAAAATATAAAATAAGAGGAGGAGAGATGGGAAAGGAGATACAAAAGAGGGGAAGGAGAAGAAGGGAGAGGCATAGAGAGGGAAGATCGACATTCATATAACGCCCTTGTGTTTTATCTCTTAGCTCCGTTAGCTTAGCATCATCAGCAACACTGCTATCATATTAACGCGGCGGGGCTAGCACAATCACGGTTGATTTAGCTGGGTTTTTTTTATATTTCAGGCAAACAGGGAGTGTGGCCGCGGAAGAGCGGTTTATCACGCGTTAACGACCCACAGCCACATTAAAGCAGGGATTTGTGTAATGGTTTAATACTGTAATTTGGGCTGTAGCGACCACCCGACGCGATACACAGGTTGTTGTTGCTGCTGCTGCTTTACTGACGGAGCTACGTTACAGGCAGGGGGGAGCAGGGTACAGGGGGAAAGGCATTTTACAGGTGTGGAGGAAGGGCTGGTTACAGGCAGGGTGATGGAGGCATGGTACAGGTAGGTCAGGATGAAGTCGGTGCAGGGTGTAGGTGGGGCTTGGTACTGGTGAGGTACAGGTGGGGCAGGGTACAGGTAGGGCCCTAGGTGCCTGTGATGATTGGAGGGCTTAACCAGCCTGGGAGGACACAGGGGTCGACACCTGTTTTTTCTTAACTTCTTGAAGACGCTTTACTACTGTCCTTCCCCTCACCCTCACACCACTCTCCCCTCACCCCCCTCCCGACACCACTCTACCCCCACCCCCCTACCAAATACCCCTCTCCCGCAGGGCATTCAGAGTAAACAACTCTTGAAGGAGGTTAAAGTCACCTGCTGACCCCCTGCTACACAGTCACCGCCTGGTGTCAGGTCCCTAACTAGTTCCTTAGCACTTATCTCCAGCAAACTTTAGTCTGGTATAAGCACACTTACGACAGAGAAGCTTTAATTTGCACAGTGTTTCGCCCGTAGAGGGCGAAACTGTGTAAATTATGGGTTCCTTGGTGTAATTGTTTAAATTGTACCACTATTTGCAGGCTGTATCCACACACCCTTTGGTTATACCTACAGCCCTTCCCTTTGTTTATACCTACAACTCCCTTCCCTGTCTGTCTGGCTACAACACTTCATAACTAAGCCATTGACTAGAATCGAAACTAGACGACGTTTCGGTCCTTCCTGGACCATTATCACGTTGCGGCTTGTTAATGGTCTAGGATGGATCGAAAAATCATCTCGTTCTGTTTCTAATTTGTAGGTTAGTTGTAAAGACGAAGCTGCGTCTTACTCTCCTCTTCCCTGGTATTAAATCCTGTTCCTTCAGCGTCTTTTTGAGGAGGTGGTGACAGTGGGAAGGAGTAGGAACTGTGGATCAGGGATCAGGCTGGTCGATAGTAGGTGCTGGTTGCGTCAATCCCTTACCCTGATCCTTTCGAAGCAGATGGTGATAGCCAGAGTATAAGGCAGTAGAATTCATTGATCAGGGTGTTGGATAAGTAGGTGCTGGTGGCGGTAATCCTTATCCTGATTCTTTAGAAGCAAATACTAAGAGCCAGACTAGTAGGGGAGAGTAGGAGCTGTGTATCAGGAATCAGACTGGTCGTAAGAAGGTATTGTAGCGGCTATGGTACAACGCCATTTTGTTTGATTGGTGTGGGTTGAGGCGGCATCTGGCAGCGGGCCGGTTGCATCCCGCCAGTTAATATGCAAATATGTTGCAGAGAATCATGGACCCTTAGCCTGGGGGCCACCAGGGCTTCTTGCAAGGCGCCCACCAAGATAGGTATTTAGATACTGTTGCGCTCTCCAAGAGAGGTACCTACTGAGGGGGAATACTTCGTGTAGGTGAGGGATAGGTGATTACCTAGCGGGGTGGGGGATATAGGTGGGGAACAAGCAGGGAATAGGGGGGCTGCAGAACAGGGGCTGACAGTAATTGGGATATAGGGGGCTGTATAATAGCTCATATGGGGTTAAGCAGTGTGGAATAGGAGACTTCATAACTGGAAATAGGTAGCGTCTTCAACAACGAATAGGTGATCACCTATCAGGGGATAGGTGATTTTTACCTGTGGTAGGTAAATGACCTCGACCAACAGGTAAACAGATGACGTAGGTCAGTGGGTAAGAGGTAACAACTCTAGAAACTGACCCCAGCCACAGGTACGTCAGGGTCATTAGTGTCTCCTTCCCTGGTTAGTTGTCAACAAGGGTGTTTGAATTTACAGTAGGCTGTACGTAACGTAAGTGGTATTGAATCAATAACAATACTGCGACTGGCCGAATCGAACCCTTGGCTCACAGGACCACACAATCCTACTAGGATTTTGTGTGGTCCTGTGGGCTAAGGCGTCGTGTGATTTTCGCTCACCACAAGGCAGGGCCAAAACGACATGGGTTCGGATCCTCGACCAGTCGCAATGTTACTGGTATATGTGTGTGTGTGTGTGTGTGTGTGTGTTTACATTTAATATTAGAAGTATAATAAGATAATTACACCTGTTTCTCTCTGTATTAATTCCCTTGTGGTTTAAAATTCTTTTCAACAGATGGTTCAAGCAATCCAGGTTCTACGGTTCCATCTTTTAGAATTAGAAAAAGTAAGTGCGATTTATGTTTCTTTTCAATATAAAAATGGGATTTTTTTTATGATAATCGAGAGGGAATTACCAAGAAATTTTGTATTTTTTTCCTCTGAATTTAGAGTACTGTATTTTTTGTTTGAAATAATTATATTACAGTTAAATAATCTGATCCATTTCAGTGAACTTTTTATATTTAATTAAAAAAATGATATATATAGAAAATTTTATTGCAAGTTTCGACCCTTAAAAAGAATTTGAGACGTGTTTTATTCATGTAGGTATTTTTTTTTTCAAGGTGATATGAAGCCGTCAGTGTCTTGTTATTATTGTTATTTATATATTTTTTAAATGATGTGAAGGAGTATCATATTATTTTTTATTAAGTATCGAATTTGTACACTTAACCTGTTACCTGGTTTTTTTACTAAGATTTTCTTTATAAGTTGAGAATGTCTGAAATTGGTTGCTTTGCATTAACTAGGGAATGCCTATTCAGATTGGCTTTAAACTTTAAAATGCTGGTGCATCTCAATGGAAGGTTGAAATTAGGATTTTTTGGCAGTGTAGGTGCCAATTTTCCCCCCTAAGGTCGAAACTGTGATATTAATTTCCATTCAGTAAACTTGAGGTTGCCTCCTTGTCATAGACAGGCTTCACTTTACAGCGTTTCCTTTCGTAGTGTTTCGCTAATACGGCGGTTTTCAGTTATATTCATTTATTCATCCTTCCTACAATAATTATATTCACCACTCACTATAAGCTAAGAACGAAAATATTTTAATGTGTGTACTGTATATGCATTTTTTTAGGCTTAGCTCTTGTTATAGGGTTTTTATATGCATTTGAAAGTAAAAAAAAGTTTGATTCACTTTTACGGCAGTAGTCCAGCCTAACCTGCTGTATAAGCAGGTGCCCTACAGTACTCCAGAACCTAACCTGCTGTATAAGCAGGTGCCCTACAGTACTCCAGAACCTAACCTGCTGTATAAGCAGGTGCCCTACAGTAGTCCAGAACCTAACCTGCTGTATAAGCAGGTGCCCTACAGTAGTCCAGAACCTAACCTGCTGTATAAGCAGGGGCCCTACAGTACTCCAGAACCTAACCTGCTGTATAAGCAGGGGCCCTACAGTACTCCAGAACCTAACCTGCTGTATAAGCAGGGGCCCTACAGTAGTCCAGAACCTAACCTGCTGTATAAGCAGGTGCCCTACAGTACTCCAGAACCTAACCTGCTGTATAAGCAGGTGCCCTACAGTACTCCAGAACCTAACCTGCTGTATAAGCAGGGGCCCTACAGTACTCCAGAACCTAACCTGCTGTATAAGCAGGGGCCCTACAGTAGTCCAGAACCTAACCTGCTGTATAAGCAGGTGCCCTACAGTACTCCAGAACCTAACCTGCTGTATAAGCAGGTGCCCTACAGTACTCCAGAACCTAACCTGCTGTATAAGCAGGGGCCCTACAGTACTCCAGAACCTAACCTGCTGTATAAGCAGGGCCCCTACAGTACTCCAGAACCTAACCTGCTGTATAAGCAGGTGCCCTACAGTACTCCAGAACCTAACCTGCTGTATAAGCAGGTGCCCTACAGTACTCCAGAACCTAACCTGCTGTATAAGCAGGTGCCCTACAGTACTCCAGAACCTAACCTGCTGTATATGCAGGAGCCCTACAGTACTCCAGAACCTAACCTGCTGTATAAGCAGGAGCCCTACAGTACTCCAGAACCTAACCTGCTGTATAAGCAGGTGCCCTACAGTACTCCAGAACCTAACCTGCTGTATAAGCAGGTGCCCTACAGTACTCCAGAACCTAACCTGCTGTATAAGCAGGTGCCCTACAGTAGTCCAGAACCTAACCTGCTGTATAAGCAGGGGCCCTACAGTAGTTAGGAACCTAACCTGCTGTATAAGCAGGTGCCCTACAGTAGTTAGGAACCTAACCTGCTGTATAAGCAGGGGCACTACAGTAGTCCAGAACCTAACCTGCTGTATAAGCAGGTGCCCTACAGTAGCCCGGAACCTAACCTGCTGTATACTTTCCCTCTTACCTCATTCCCTCCCTTCCTGTCTGTTATTCCCTCCATCCATCTCTCCCTCACTTCCTCATTCCTTTTCGTTTCCTCATTTGTCTGTTCGTCTCTCTCTCTCCCTTTACCTCTTCTGTCTTTCCTTTAATTTCATATTTCCTCCCTCCTCTCTCGTCATTCCTCAGTCCCTGACTCATTCCATTCATTGATATCTCTTCCTCTCCCTCCATGTCCTTGGGTCTTTTCTCCCTGACCTGGACATGACTAACTTGCGTCAGTGGCTTAAGCCAGTAGGTGACTTGGACCTGCCACGCATGGGCCAGTAGGCTTGCTGCAGTGTTTTGTTCCTCCCTCCCTTACTCCATCTCTCTACATTTCTCCCTCCCTGACAGCCTCCATGCTTCTCTCCTTACCAGCCTCCATGGCTTTCCCTCCCTGATTCTCACACTACTAACCTCTCTGGCTCTCCCTGCCAGCTTCTATGGCTCTCCCTGCCAGCTTCTATGGCTCTCCCTCTCTGCCAGTCTCCCTGGCTCTCCCTGCCAGCTTCTATGGCTCTTCCTCTCTGCCAGTCTCCCTGGCTCTCCCTGCCAGCTTCTATGGCTCTCCCTGCCAGCTTCTATGGCTCTTCCTCTCTGCCAGTCTCCCTGGCTCTCCCTGCCAGCTTCTATGGCTCTCCCTCTCTGCCAGTCTCCCTAGCTCTCCCTGCCAGCTTCTATGGCTCTCACTCTCTGCCAGTCTCCCTGCCAGCTTCTATGGCTCTCCCTCTTTGCCAGTCTCCCTGCCAGCTTCTATGGCTCTCCCTCTCTGCCAGCCTCCCTGGCTCTCCCTCCCTGCTTGTATGGCTCTTCCTCTCTGCCAGCCTCCCTGCTTCTCTCCCTGGGTCTCCCTGCCTCCTCCTTGAGCATCGTCGTCAGCAGCTGACTGTTTACTTCTCGTTATCACCATCAACAGCCTAGCGTGTTGATGGACGAATGTTTGGAATATTTTATACCGTCGAGGGAGTGATTGTTGGTGTGAGTCACACTGCTACACGCTTTTACAACTATCCCCCCACTCCCCTCACTGCTTCTATCCCCCTCCCCTCACTGCTTCTATCCCCCTCCCCTCACTGCATCTATCCCCCTCCCCTCACTGCTTCTATCCCCCTCCCCTCACTGCTTCTATCCCACTCCCCTCACTACTTCTATCCCCCTCCCCTCACTGCTTCTATCCCCCTCCCCTCACTGCTTCTATCCCCCTCCCCTCACTGCTTCTATCCCACTCCCCTCACTGCTTCTATCCCCCCACTCCCCTCACTGCTTCTATCCCCCCACTCCCCTCACTGCTTCTATCCCCCTCCCCTCACTGCTTCTATCCCCCTCCCCTCACTGCTTCTATCCCACTCCCCTCACTGCTTCTATCCCACTCCCCTCACTGCTTCTATCCCACTCCCCTCACTGCTTCTATCCCACTCCCCTCACTGCTTCTATCCCCCTCCCCTCACTGCTTCTATCCCCCTCCCCTCACTGCTTCTATCCCCCTCCCCTCACTGCTTCTATCCCCCTCCCCTCACTGCTTCTATCCCCCTCCCCTCACTGCTTCTATCCCCCTTCCCTTCACTGCTTCTATCCCCCTCCCCTCACTGCTTCTATCCCCCTCCCCTCACTGCTTCTATCCCCCTCCCCTCACTGCTTCTATCCCCCTCCCCTCACTGCTTCTATCCCCCTCCCCTCACTGCTTCTATCCCCCTCCCCTCACTGCTTCTATCCCCCTCCCCTCACTGCTTCTATCCCCCTCCCCTCACTGCTTCTATCCCCCTCCCCTCACTGCTTCTATCCCCCCTCCCCTCACTGCATCTATCCCCCTCCCCTCACTGCTTCTATCCCCCTTCCCTTCACTGCCTCTATCCCCCTTCCCTTCACTGCCTCTATCCCCCCTCTCCTCGCTGTTTCTATCCCCCTCCCCTCACTGCTTCTATCCCCCCTTCCCTTCACTGCCTCTATCCCCCCTTCCCTTCACTGCCTCTGTCCCCCTTCCCTTCACTGCCTCTATCCCCCTTCCCTTCACTGCCTCTATCCCCCTTCCCTTCACTGCCTCTATCCCCCTCCTTTCACTGCCTCTATTCCCCTCCCCTCTGCTTCTATCCCCCTTCCCTTCACTGCCTCTATCCCCCTTCCTTCACTGCCTCTATCCCCCTACCCTTCAGTGCCCCTATCCCCCCTCCCTTCACTGCTTCTATCCTCCGTTCCTTCACTGCCTCTATCCTCCGTTCCTTCACTGCCTCTATCCTCCGTTCCTTCACTGCCTCTATCTCCCCTCCCTTCACTGCCTCTATCCCCCCTCCCTTCACTGCCTCTATCCCCCCTCCACTACCTCTATCCCCCTCCCGTCACTGCCTCTATCCCTCCTCCCCTCACTGCTTCTATCCCCCCTCCCTTCACTGCCTCTACCCCCCTCCCTTCACTGCCTATATCCCCCTCCTTTCACTGCCTCTATCCCCTCCCTTCACTGCCTCTATCTTCCCTCCCTTCACTGCCTCTATCCCCCTCCCTTCACTGCCTCTATCTCCCCTCCCTTCACTGCCTCTATCTCCTCTCCCTTCACTGCCTCTATCCCCCCTCCCTTCACTGCCTCTATCCCCCCTCCCTTCACTGCCTCTATCCCCCTCCCTTCACTGCCTCTATCTCCCCTTCCTTCCCTGCCTCTATCCCCCTCCACTGCCCCTATCCCCCTCTCTTCACTGCCTCTATCCCCTCCACTGCCCCTATCCCTCTCCCTTCACTGCCTCTATCCCCTTCCCTTCACTGCCTCTATCCTCCCTCCACTGCCCCTATCCCCCTCCTTTCACTGCCTCTATCCCCCTCCCTACACTGGCTATATCCCCCTCCCTTCTGCCTCTATCCCCCCTCCTTTCACTGCCTCTATCCCCCCTCCCCTCACTGCTTCTATCCACCTCCCTTCACTGCCTCTAGTCCCCCCTCCTTTCACTGCCTCTAGTCTCCC